GCCTGGAATTGGACTTGAGAAAGAACCTGTGGAAAATTTAAACACTACTAAGAGTTCCGTGAGGAAGTGAATATTCTAAAGATCTTATCTTTCCGGGGCTTTGTAAAGTTTTGCGAATTTCCAGAAGTTCTTTGGGTTCTAGAAATTCCTCGAATACGATGAATTATTATGAAGGCAGATATAGCCACGGACCACTGGGTGTGTGACAACGTTGCTGCACAAAAATTAATTGTAATGTGATCATGATCATCCTTTATTCTTTGTAGGGGTCTTGTTGATCACTCTCCCTTTCTAAATTCTGTCAAGCTCTTAATAGAACCTACTTCAAAATACATAGCGTAGTCATTTTTGTTTGGAAACCAAGCACTTGAAATTAGCAGAGTAACAAGATAAGCAGATAAGATTTTCAGCTTATCAAATTGAGGAGAACGATTATGAAAACACATTCACATTGAGGCAAACACAAAACGAAACGGAGAAAGCGTGGTGAGCTTGAATAAAGCTACTTTCCTCAATGTACTCTTTAAATAAGAAGCTTTTGGATTTTCGCTCGGTGGCGAATGACGTATTTAGAAAAGTATCAAAAGACAAATTAATAAAAGTTACAACCGCGATTCGAATCAAGGACTCTGGGATCTAAAGGCACGTACCTAACCAGTTAGTCCAGCGAACATTTTGATGAAAACCACATAAGAAGCATGCATTCCTTGGCTCGCATCTCAATCAAGCTAAAAAAAAAATTCTCAAAGAGGAAAAAAATGTGGTTTCCTCAGTTGTTTTCACATTGCCATCCGAACAGCCGCCCTCAGTTTTATAGAGGAAAGTCGAAGCAAAGCAAAGAATAGCGTAAAGTATTGAAAACTGAGTTAAGTTGTTAAGACGTGTTTCTCAGCAAATACTAGGCCCAATTTGAACGCAACAATGAAAGATTCCATGGTCCCATAAAGCGCTTGTAAATATTTGTAGAAGCGGTCAACTGGTTTCGGGAATACGGACAGTAAAAGATACGAAATACACGGATTCAGGAAACTAAGTCGTTTTGCTCTAACCGAATTAGATACAACAACCACCAAATGAAAAGTACTAGGGTCCTATTGAACTCTTTGAATGTTTTAAGAATAGGTTAACTGGTTCCGGCGATATTGCCGGAACATGATCCGGTTTGTATGGGCCATGAGCCGTAATCCGAACAAAATCGAATAAAAGCCATTCAAAATTATGTTCAATGGTAGCCATTTGAAGTGCCAGTCTCTGACTTCGGTCAAAATACATCATATGATACCTCAAATCACATCAGAGTTCATCTACTAAATCACATCATATGAGCACATTTTCAAGTGGAACAGTTTTAACAGTAAGCGTGAGGGGCTTGCTATACGCAGGTTTTAAATCGAACAATTTTTTTTCCTTGATTTGTTTTCCGTCGATCTTATTTTCTGAGCTAAGCACCAGCTACCGACGCCAGGGAGGCAGCTCCCACACCTGAACCCTACCTATCGACCCATCAACTTATGAACCGGAGACGTGATCAGAGATGTTATGCCTCAGAACATCCCGGCGGCGCCGACTGAGATTGAACCCAGGCCTGCTGGGGTGAGAGGTAATCACGCTAACCCCTACACCACAGGCGCCGCTCTCTCGAACAATATTGTAGTGTAAATATTTAATATCCACTTGTCCGTTAGTGATGTCGTTTAAATTATTAGCATTTGGAAGACATTAAATTTCAATATACAGCTTTCATTTGAAATATTAAACTGCCATGAGGGCCTCCCCCATATAGAAAACACAGAAGTAGTCCTACGTCAAAAACAAAAAAAAAAAAAAACAAAAGAAAAGGAAAACTGTCTTCACGAGTTGCATCTCAGACACAGGAACAGTCGGATTTCGCTCGTTGGGCTATCTTTGGGTGGGCTACGGTTTAGCTAGACTGTAGCCCACCTAAATCAAAGTCAAACGTCATTTCTGAAAGTGCTGATTCCTTTTCGAAATTTCCAACGACTTTATGCGAAAACTGGCAAACGGGTGGAGTAATGATAGAGATTATTTCAATGCGAAACAACGAGTTGCTTCCTTGAAGGTTATCAATGATGTGGCTGAACGAGGTTTGAATAAATCCACCCGAGATCCAGTTCAACAGCAACATTTGCTTCAGGTTTCAGCATCGAAAAGAGTACCGTGAGAAATCGTAGAATATATTAAACTGAAATATTCATTACAATCCAATGACATTTGTGTGAATACGTCTTAAATTTATATAGGGGAAATGGCTCTAATGTTGGACTTTGGATCTAAGATTGGGCCCATCGCTAAAAATCTGCTGTATATCAATTTTATTCAGATGAACGCGTCATTGGGACGGTACTAATGGATATTTTTGGCCGCTATTGAACATTTATTCGATTGCTGAATTTATATATGGGCCCAAATTAGGGGCGTTTAAGCCGACATTACATCCATTTCCCCTATTACACCAAAAGAGTAGGGAAGGGGGTGAGACTACTAACTTTCAAACTGCTCTTATGAGATCGAACAATTTTTGATTAACCCATCCGAACAACTCGAGAAATGGGGAACTCCGAAGTTATTTTAGTCTTTATTTTTACTTTCGTTTATATAAGTGAGGAAGCGGAAGGTATACAGTAAGCCACACCAACTAAATGGAGCAAATGTTTTGAATACATCTGAACTTATCAAATCGATAAGATAAGAAACTCCGAAGTTACTTCAGTTTGAAACTTTACTTCCATTGATATGAGTGAGGGGGGCAACTTCGCATTTTATTTTTTAATAATTAATCTGAAAATACCAAATCGATAATCAACTCCGAAATTATTTCAGTTTGGAATCTGACATTCATTGGTACACCCATGCAGTGTTGGCAGGAAAGTGATTTTTGGAATTTAGTTCAAAACATCGATCTTTGAACAGCTATAACTTTTTTAGAGGAAATCTAGCACCGTACATCCTTCGGCAAAGTTTTTGAGCACTACCGTATGCGTGATGATGTTTGCACCATCGTACAAATAAGGTTCCCATTTCACCTGTGCATACAATGCCTTGGTTTTCTTTGCATGCACGTAACCTATAGCTCATACCGTAGTAGGCTGTGTATAAAAGAAAATGATTTACTTAATTTGACAGTTGCACCATGACGAAGTGACAGCGTATTCGTGATTTGTCCCACGCGCAAATATCGCAAAAAGACATTTCAATCGCCGTGGGAGTGTCCCGGTGGAGCGTCAAAAATTTTTTAGACCGAGAAAGGAAGGACAACTATTCGCGAAGGTGGCCACAGGTCGTCCGAGGTCAGCTCGGGTTCCGAGGGTTATCGTTGCTATCAAAAGGAAGATTCGGGTGAATCCAGTGCGTTCAATAAGGAAAATGGCAAAGGAACACGGGATCAGTGACTTTACGGCACGGAAGATCATAAAGGAAGATTGCGGGGCGAAGTCGAGGGCATGGAAAAAAAACTCACATGATTACCAACCGCATCCGGGAGCTAGGAGTCGAACGATGCAAGAAAATCTTGAACTTGCTTAAGCGAAAAAATCCGGTAATCCTGTTCACCGACGAGAGCGTGTTTACGTCGATCCCGTATCAAATTCCAGAACCGACCGGTATATTAGTTCTCTTCCGGTAAAAGACGTGGCCGACGAGCACAAGAAGGTGTATCTGACCAAGCATCCTGCTAGCGTTATAGTGTTTTGATTGGTGGCTCCCGATGGCAAAAATAAATGGACCCGGTGTTCATTCCAGAAGGCGACAAGGTCAACACGGAGGTCCACATCGGGATTTCAAGTAAGTATGTTCTTCCATGGATCAAAGAACAGTACGGTTCGAAGCCAAATTTCAATTAGATGGGGCTCCGTGCCACACCTCGAACCGCACTCAGAAGTGGTTGCAGGAACATCTTCCGTTCTGGGCGAAGGATATGTGGCCGCCATCCAGCTCCGATCTTAATCCGCTGGATTACTCAATATGGCGCGTCATGAAGGCCAAGGCCTGTTCTAAACGCCACCCGAGTACAGCACGCCTCAGACAAACATTGACCCGTACCTGGAGAGAAATGGATCCAGACTACATTATTTGAACCTGCCGTGCATTCCGGAAGCGTGTGGAGGCCGTAATTGCAGCAAGTGGAAACTCGATCGATTGTTAACATAGTTTAAGACTCTGAGAAACATCCCCCTTTGAATAAAAAAAAAAACTCCAAAACGAAATTTTTGAGATTTTTTAAATTTTGACATTGCTCAATGGTGCAAACATTATCACGCATACGGTACTTTCTGGACTATAATTTTATATGATTAGATGCATGGCTCAAGCAAAATCGTGGTCCCTAGGAATGAAAATGCAAAAAGTAGGTTTTCTCATACTTAATTTCAAACGCAATGCGGAAAGCTGGGTTACAAACAATCGTCCTAAAATTTTATACAGTTGTTTGGGACCCGAAATGGAACGAAAAAAATATTGTTCTGTTAAAAATATAATGATGACCCACCTTAATATATACATATATTTTTTTGCAATAAAGTTTTGCGAAATTCGCAAGAATGGGCTCATTGCATTTTAAGTACAAAAAAACATCTTTTGCGTGTAGTATTTCAATTCCATGGACCCACTCATATCCCGGGTGCCCCTAAGTAAATTATCAGAACTAGGTTTGAACATATGAGACAGATCTTGAACGATGAAACCAATGATTCCGAAACTTCCTAATTTCGTGCTTCCATTAAAAAATGAAGCTCGCTACTAGGAGAAAAAATAACCAGCTTGATTCACGCTGGAGGCACGCTCGTAGTAAGTTTAGGGATCACTTTGAAAGAGCAGTAAACGTGATAATAGACTTTTTCAGTGCAAGCATCTTCGTGGCTTCATGTGGTCCATCTGGAACTTAGCGTCTCGTAAAAGCAGAACAAACATATTCATAATGGGAGTGAATTGTGCTGCTACATATATCCGAGTCAATCGGCTGACCAAGCGGGACTGAACGTTACCTGTTGTATTATCAAGTTACAAATTTGTCTCAGTAAAACTGCAATGAAAATAAACCGTGTTGTGAAATTCACCATAAATCGTTCTTTTCTGCTTCTAACTTACCGATCAACTTAGCTGAGTGACAGTAGTAAAGTGAATTGGACCAAATGAGACACACAACGTGCATCAACGGTTTAAGCAGCACCCTGCTTTCGGAAAACTCGGTATCCTCCAGCTGTTGGAAGTGCCGTGTCAGTGGGTTCAGGTACAGTGTAATATCACGTGCTTCAGCCAGGGCTGCAGAGGGGAAAACGCAGGGAGAATCACTTCTTGACCGGTTTGGAAAAAATGCTGATGTAAGTTATCCTACAGCACGCCATCCAGCAAGATTTTGGCTCCTTGCTCGAAAACAGACGGGAATCCGCGTGCTGCTCGACCTAAACTCACACGTCAACCGACAGTGAGGTCTGACAGCACACGACTGCCCGTTTATTGTATGAGGAAATGAGCAGGATGGTATGGCAGGATAACTAAGATAAGCTTTTTTTTTTAATTGCACTACCAGATCTAACCTGTAACTACATTTTTAAACAGAGTCTTAAAACAAGGATAATAGGCACTATCGGTGAATTCCAATATCAATGCCATGCTACGGATTCGCTCGTGGCGAAGCTGTTCGTAGATATAGGTGAGATTCTTGAGCCGGTTGTTCCAGAAGTTAATTTCTGCATTGGGATAGAAAGGTTAGGGGTTGTTGTGTGTTTTTGGAAAGACTTTCGCTCAGCGTTCTTTCTCACCAGCAGAAGGTACCGGGTTCTGTCCACCGGTGAATGCATTCGCACTGGTCTCGAGCATTACGTCGTTCACCTGGGTGGCCCACTTGATAACTACACCTTCGATCGCACTCTTCAGATAGAGATTGATCGAACATTCTGCGTTGACCACTAGTTCTTTTGCGGTCTGCACACATTTATCAACTCCGACGGGCATTGGTAGAACGGTCTGTCCACTAACTTGACCCTGAACTTGATAGACGGTGCTTTTCAGGCTGTGAACCTGCTTTTGTACGTCTTGTGCGACCATTTCTGGCCACCCATGGTGGTTGTCTGAGTTCGACAGCAGTGGTACGAAGATCTCGTCTACGAGACATGACAGCTGATCGATGGTGCGAGTCGCTAAATCACCTACCACTAGACAATCCTTGCAACCCTCGCGGGGTACTTCTATTGCATTTTTCTTAACAAAATAAACTCCTGCAATTAGGAATGGTTGAGCAAATCGAAAGTTTCCGCCAACTCGCTATCTATATGATCACTTACCTTTATTCTTCAACTGTTGAATAGGAAAACTTACTAACGGAATCAACTGTGCCGATGGGGTAAGTATAATAATCAAAACTAACGATGCTGGATTATCGAAAAACTCCTTCAATACTGCTTTGTGCTCTTCTCTGGAATCGGGAGGAAAGGAAGCATTCAATCAACGTACATTAGGATCGCATATATGGGAATAAGCAATGAGAGATAGCGTTTATGTGAATCGCTTACAGTGTGACTAAACGGTGCCATTTTTCCGGCTTCAATTTAAGCGTTTTCTGTACAAACGAACCAAGGAACTCGAACCGGGGATCCGAGTTGCTACTTCCACTGCCTCCTTCCATTTTTTATCCACCCTCACCGTGGAGTTGTGCGTGGAATGGTGCGAAAAACTGGTGTAATTTATTTACTGTTATTATCTCCTTTCAAGTGCGCCGCGGTCTAGGTTCTACGAGGAGAAACGGGGGAGAAAATAGGATATAACGTAATACCGCTCTGATTCATGTTCCGGATATCAGTTTGATTGAAACCTTGGTTAGGGTTATTACTTTTTTCATGTTTTAGATGTTGAGGTTGTGTGCAGTTATCTTAAAATGACTATATGTGCGGTGGCGATATAGTAAAGCACACATAGTCTCAACACTAAGAACAAGATACTTTTCCAGTTGCATTATAAAAAAAAAGTTCTGAAATCTTCAAAAATGTTATCAGTAAACTGATTCCAATTTCAAACACTTTTCAAACCGCTGACGGAAAAAAGTGCCAGCTGGCCAAAATCATTATTAGTTAGCTTATTCATAGATAACCTAAAAAAACATTGGCAAAATGCACTGACAAAAATCCAAAATATCAGCTGCTTGGAAGTTTCCACCCGCAGGACTATATTTTCAGTGCATAAAAATGGTTGTTAGAAATTGGAAATTATCTAGACTATGAATCAGAAAGGTATCGGTACCGGAGCTATTTCAAAGACACCATTTCAAAACCGTTTCGTTTTTATCACCATATACAGAGGTTTCCGAGGCCATTTGCTTTGTGTGCATGTTCAAGTGACGGCTTAGAGTTTCCGAATAAAATCCATCTTCAATCTAATCATAATGACAGGTTTCTATTTAGCGGGAACTACTACTACTCTGACCATTGCTACCTGATTTATTTTCGATGATAAATCTTACTCTTAACTATGATCGATAGAAGGTGGATTTTACATGATCGGAAACTCTTAACTGACACACTAATTCTGGATTCCGGTTCCTAAGAGCCGTAGTTCGATGCAGAGTAACTGCACTGTTTGTCGTATTGGATCATGACACTGAAATGTGGAAAGCACATGAATGAAAATATTCTACAGTTAGGTGACAGTATTGCTCGACTAATACAGTTGCCAAATGTGGGTTGAAGTCGTTGCAGCAATTAGGTGTTTGGAAATCCAAAAAAATACACCCTAGAACAGATCTTCCTTTTGTTTCGTTTGGAATGGTTAAAAAACACAAGTGCTTCGACAAAAAGTTCTATGTGTTCCTTTCTCTTCCCTCTGTGAAACCGTATTAGTCGATTTTAACAGTCATCCTTTTGTACCTGCACGAATTTTGAAAATGCAATTTTAACAAAAATATTGACTATCCTATTCTAGTATGAATAAAACACTAGATTCCACTGGAAATCTCTTGTGTTTACACCTTTAATTGCCACCTGTTAGTCCGTGCAACAAAATAGCACGATTGAATCATACAACTAAACAGTTTCTGTGCCATTGAGTATTATCAGCTAGACTCCATCAAATAATATGCAACCCCACAGCGCCTATGGCAAAATAAATAAAATCAGACACCTGTTGAAGCTTTATGCATTTTGTATTTGTTTCGTGCCGTCTGTGTGTTTGGAATCAAACCACTGCTTCTGTTTGAGTTTGCTCCGTAAATAGCACGAAAAAGTTTTCCCATTCATTGCTGAGATCGGTAGGATAAACAGTAGGTGAAAGCATGTTTTTTTTTAATTAATAGGGATGTATATACGGTAGCAGGTAGCTATGTACCTTTGTTTTGTCTTTTAGAAGCCTAGTCATGCGACATATGGATAACTTGCAAATTTGGTGGTAGGTTTTCGCGTTCTTTATACAAAAGTAAGTTCAGGCTATTTATTTCAGCAAGCAGAATTTTCTTTTGATGGATGAGGCTGTTTACTGGTTCAACATATTCTAAATTGACAGACTATGTTTTATGTTGCTAGCTTATCAAGTGAATTTTGTTAATGCAATCATTGTTTGTTTGAAAAGCCGCATTAGCCAAAGATGTAGCTACATTTGTTTATCGGAACCCAAAGTGAAAATGAAGTCGATTTTTTTTTCAAAGTAATGTATCTAGATTTCTGATTATTACTTGATCTCTTCATACCGTTAGAAAGGTTGCTTTCTCAATTTTGGTTGGACTTGTTCTTGGACCAAATGCTGAACTATGTTGAGAGAAAAATTGCTTAGTTTAATTAAAAATTTTACCATAGGCTTGATCATTCTATTAGATATTTATAAAAGCTTCCTGAGAAAAATATCGTGGACGAAATAAATCAGTTTTAGCTAGCTAAATCAAGCAATCTACTGATTCGTCAGATATGAATCCAGAATTTATGGAATGATTGATGCCTTTTATAATGTTTCTTTATTTTTTGAGTACTTTATTTGAGTAGTGAGAAATTTTCTTTAAGAGGAATAAACACTCAGATAAAAAATAACTTTTTTATTCTTTGTTCAAATTGATGAACAGGTATGGAAACATTGTAGATGAAGCTAATTGAAGAAACTTTGTATAAGATGAAAACTTTTTAACTCTCAAGTGGATGAAGTTATAGGGTAAAATTGGAGTACTAACGGTACCCCAAATTCGGGACTTATGAGGGTTCTGTAGAGCATGATTTAGCTTTGTAGAATGCTTTAAAACCTTGTTAAACCTTGCAATGTTATGTGGGAAGCAACTTTTTGAGGAACTTCGACTTTTTTTTACTTTAAATTCTTCCAGGCTCTCTTCTGGCCAACCGAGGTATAAAATTCTTGCCCAGGTTCTTATCAAAATCTGCTAGGAGTGGATAGACCGAGATTTTTGTTTCGAGCGTGCAGAATCGAATTGCGACGTGCATGATGAAGCCATGAATGTAAACAAATGAACTTATCCTGACAACCAATGCCTACTATGATTATATTCACTCTTAGGTTCAATGGGTGAAATTTTTAAAAATTTGACTCAAAAAATGGCCTAATGGCAGCGTTTGTGTGCAACCTTTACAGGTTATATATATACCTGTTTTAAGGAGAAAATCACGATTGACGATTGTGATCCCCAAAAAACCCCTAAAATCGCGATTGAGGCCTTCAATCTCAGGTTTAAGAAATCGTGATTCTGATAATTTGTTGAATTTTCTATTACACTTTCAAATGACTTTGAATGGAATTCAACAATTCTGAGGAATTTCTAAAGATGGAATCCTCTCAGAGCGTTCTGGGAAGTATTTCATGGTAGTTCTGAGTAGAATCCCAAAGAGAATTTGAAGAGGAAGTCTGATGATAGCTTCAGGCGGCTTAGAGGGTGCTGCCAACCCGACGCTTTGACACGACATTTCTTTAGTTTTCATTTTTAAAGTATTCTTAACAATTAAATAAATCGGAATTATGACTTTTACCTCACATATTACTAACACAAGATTTGGCATAATTTTACAAGATATTTCACGTAAATTTAACATAAATGTCGCGAAAAATCGTCAATATTGTATATCGTGGTCAGGGTTATGCATTTTCGAAAAAAGAAAAGAAAATGAACTCTTCAGAATCGCTTCATTTTCTTGTTATCGAGTCACGATGAACATTCCTCCTGTCAAACATGGCTTGGTTATCGCTTGTTTCGTTCGTCAAGTTCATCATTGTTTCAATTGATGTAATGAATTACTCGAAAACTGCTTCCTTCGTTTTTTTTTCCACTTTCACTTCTATTCGGGGCTTATTCGACTAGCCACGCGTCGCGTCTTCAGGCATCAACATATCGTATCTGCATAGTATCCGCACAATATCGGTTGCCGATAGGGATGGCATCCGGATCAGGGGTTGAAACAGTTGTCGTTTTTTACTACACTCGCTTCGTTGTCGTGCGTGACAGTCTGTTTGTATTCGAACACTCATGCTCTACCGTCGTCTCTCTCACACAACACGAGCGGTAGAATAACATTCGAGCTCAGGCATGGAAAATCATTTACATTCATTTCATGCAATCATTTACATTCATTTGCCTCTAACTTTTTTCATCAACAGCATTCCACAAAATGATGTATGGAGCTTTAGTAGGTTTTGTTATTAGCTACAACTTTTGCCCATAACTCAAATCTGTATCTCTTATACATCACGAATTATAGCGGGCAGAACTTGTTACTGTTTTTCAGTGAATGTAAAATACATTCACTGAAAAACAGTAGTGGATATTGTTCGCTCTGGTTCGTCATACATAAGAGATACGGATTAGAGTTGTTAACAAAAGTTGTAGCTAATAACAAAACCTACAAAAGCTCCATACACCATTTTGCGGAATTCTGTTGATGAAAAAAGTAAGGGGTAAATGAATGTAAATGAATGCACGAAATGAATGCAAATGATTTTCCATGCCTGTTCGAGCTAAAAGAAAATTATCAAAATAGCTATCATATGACATGTGTGATTTCGTTGTAATTCCTCGATTTGGTGTAAATCAAATCATTTCTGATCAGAAATATTATAACTAGGACATCATTGCTTGCTATTTTCAGAATTCACACAAGCACACCATCAGCAGCTCTTATTATGAGAAAAACTAAAATACATACATTCGTGACGGTCTTCGGCAACAGTGTCGTACGACAGAGCCTGTCATATGACTTTTTAGTTTGGTACTGTACTATGATAGCTTGTTTTGCAAGTGTCGGAGGCAAAGGCAGTCAATTATCACAGAAAATGTGTCGACTACCGTGACCGCTTACAAGACTGATCCGGATTATATGAAGTAATAAATTGTTATTTTATATTAAATGAAAATAATAATAAAGAGGTCATTCTGGAGTCCAATATGGCGGCCATCAGGCTCAGGAAAAGTCTCAAATACCCTACAATATGGGTGTGAAATACTCTAAGATATGGGTATTTTCGGAACGGGGACGACGCGTAGATGCGGCCATTAGGATTCACAAAAAGTGTCAAATACCCTAAGATCTGGGTTATTGGGACCAGGGACGACACGTAGATGCTAAAAATCGATATTCGACGGCATTCGTAGGGTATTTGAGACTTCTTCTGAAATCGGAAGCCAGCATCTTGAATTTCAAGACGAAGTCGGGCATAGATTTGCGACTTCTAGATGTCACCCCGATTCCAAAAATACCCACATTGATTAGAGTTTCACACTTTTTCTGAACCAAAAACGCCATCTTAGATTTTAAAATTGCGTCGGACATCGGTTTCTGGCTGTTAAACGTTACTGGGATTTCAAAAATACCCACACACTTAGAAAAAATCATGTAAATTTAGGTGCTCTGAGACTGACATATACGAGCGTCAATTTTGACATAAAATTGAGTCATAATAGACGCGAAATCGAACTCAATTAAACGTATTTTTCGCTGTTTGTTTACGTCTTATCCTTTATGTCAAAGATGGATTCCGTCACGTGTAAAATTAGGTATTTCTAAGTGTGCATATTGATACGAATTTTACAGTATTTCCTACTTTTTCTGAAACCAAAAGTCGCCATCTTGGATTTCATGGAGTCTGACATCGGTTTACGGCAACTACGTGTCATCCAAGTTCCTAAAATACCCATATTTTAAGGTATTTGACACGTTTTCTGAAAGCAAAAGCCGAGAATTCAAAATGGTTTCGGGTACCGATTTCCGGCTTCTAGACGTTATTCAGATTCTAAAAAAAAAAAAACATATTGATGGGTAGTTGATAGAATTTCCCACTTTTTCTTAGTCGGAAGCCGTTATGTTGGACTTCATAATGGCTTTCGGATACCGATTCCAAAAATACCCATATTGATGGGTAGTTGACAGTATTTCCCACTTTTTATAAAATCTGAAGCCGTCATCTTGGATTTCAAAATGGCGTTGGCCATCGATTTCCGACCTCTAGGCGTCATCTCGATTCCAAAAATACCCATATTCATGGGTATTTGATAGTATTTCCCACTCTTTCTGAAATCGGAAGCTGCCATCTTGGATTTCAAAATGGCGTCGGTCATCGATTTTAGGCCTCTAGACGTCATCTCGATAAAAATGAACCGAGTGAGCAATCAAATAAAATTCAGAAAAACTGCGCGAATTTGAATCTAACAGCTTGCGCAAGAAAGTTCATTTGACAATGAAAGACAAAATGAACACGCATGAAAACTGATCGAAAGTGGTTCTGTTGTTGTTGAAGTGGAAGACGAATGACTTTTAATTGAATGTGATGGTTAACAGCTTCGTCGTCGCTTGACGATTTTCGATTGAAAGTGACTTTGTTGGACCCTGATCGTGGTAGTCAAGGATTTTTTTTTCCAGTAAATCTTAAATTTTAGAAATACTCTGGATACGGAATCCATCTTTGGCATAAAGGATGATATGTAAACAAACATGTCATGTAAAATTAAGTGCTCCGAGACTGAAAAGTTCGTTACCCGACGAAAAGTAAGCTTGATTAAGCAGCAAACAAGGAGTTCCGATTTCATGAACATTGTTGCAAAAATTTGCGAGATTTTTGCTTAGAAAAACTTGAAATGATAGGGCATATCAACCATTATGACGGCCATTTGTGGACTTTTCATGGAATCACCTTCATGTTATTATTGGCAGAAGCGACTTCCATCGGTTAATTGTATTGTTTATGCCATGTTTAGCCACCACACCATTTTAAACAGCACTATTATGGGCTTATGAACTTCAATACCATCGCAACGCGTCGCAATACACATGTTCGTCAATTAGACTATGTTCATCAAGTTTATCTCTCAATAAGAATCCCAATGCAGACTAAATTCATATGATAGGTTTCTCGGCTTTTAGCTTAGCTTAGATTGACTGCACATATCAATCGTTGCTACTCTGTGATTGATCCAAACCAGTGAAATTACTCAATGAATCATTTGTACTGGTTCCGGAAATGCATGGCTGGAAAATTTTCGGGTTTGTAAATGTCATGAAACTAAATACGGCCTGAAATGAATAAAACTCACATTAAGTGACATATCAAATGACATGAGAATTTAAAAACCAGTTCAATGGTAGTCATAATCAGAGCATAGGACTATGTACTGTCCACATCCGGTTATATTTCGGGAACCCTCGGTCCCATTTTCTAGCCACTTAGGGCCAAAATCCATCATGCGTTACCTTAAACCACATGAAAATTAATCTATTTTTTCTTATCGTGTGAGCACTTAGTTGGAATTTCTACTAGTAAGAAGGGTAAGAATTTATCATGGGATGTTTTTAACTATGTTCTCTCAAAAATCGTGGGTGGGATAGCTTTGACTGTCCCACCCAGGCATGGAAAATCATTTGCATTCATTTCATACACTCATTTACATTCATTTGCCTCTAACTTTTTTCATCAACAGCATTCCGCAAAATAATATATAGAACTTTTGTACGTTTTGTTATTAGCGACAACTTTTGGTCATAACTCATATCTGTATCTCTTATCCATCACGACCTAGAGCGGACAGAACTTGTTACTGTTTTTCAGTGAATGTAAAATACATTCACTGAAAAACAGTAGTGGCTTCTGTTCGCTCTGGTGTGTCATGCATAAGAGAAACGGATTTGATTTTTTAACAAAAGTTGTAGTTAATAACAAAACATACAAAAGTTCCATACATCATTTTGCGGAATGCTGTTCAAGAAAAAAGTTAGAGGCAAATGAATGTATATGAATGCACGAAATGAATGCAAATGATTTTCCATGCCTGGTCCCACCCCGGTATTTTTGTGCGTAGGACATGTCCCACCTGTCCCGCCCATTCATTGTGTCTTTTTTCTGTCAAAATATTTGACGCATCAATCGGTTTCTGCATTAGAAAATACGTCAGTCATGCCATGCTAAAGCTAACTGGGAAGGTATATATATATATATACATTTCGTTCAATTCGAACAAACAAACAAATCAACAGCCAGTTTTATACGCCTCCTCGGTGGCATAAATGTTAAAAGCTATATATTTTTTCTCAATTGCCCATTTATTTATGATTCGTGCACGTGCACGATGTGCTGCTTAGTTTATATTGGGCCTGTTTTCTGCACGCGAACTGATAGGTACCAGCAGGTAAAGCGTAGTTTGTCAATCATGTTTATAAAAATAAATGAATCGATTCGTGCTCCTCGCTGAAGGTTAGAACCTCTTTTTGCGATTTAGTTTCACTTGGCAGCCATCTTGTAAAATGGAAAATTTTGTGAAAATTTCGGTTTTTCCACTATTTTTGGTGATATTATCCCAAACTGTTGAGTGGTTTTCTTTCAAAAGTATCCAAAAACGGGTAATCCACAGATAGGCGAAGAAATAATCCAAAATATGTGGTAATCCTTGGAGCTGCAGGGTATATCCGCACTATGATTCCAATATCACATTTTTTTAACAATTTGTTACTGCACTCCGTAGAAATTATCATTTGCTTAACTTTGGCACTCACTTTAAATAATTTTTATCATATTTAATAGCTTTTTCAAACACTTTTCACTTTCGGTTTATTACGTAACATTGTTCGCATACCTAAAACTTGCTATTTTCAACAAATCTAACGATGATCTGATATATTTCCCGCAAATCTAACTAATATCACAATAGTTACAGCGCTTTAAGTAAGTTTTAGATGATTTTTTAAAATTTTTGATAAGTGACGACCGCGTCCAACACGGGTCTGCACCGATTAAGATCCGTCCGAAGACTAGCGAAAAGTTGACTCGCAAAACTTGAACGAAGTGACATCCCAGGCATTTCGTGCCAGAAGTTTATTTATGAAAATTATTTTTCATAAATAAAATCGGTATCTATGGTAGTGACGTACGATATAGCGAGAGCTTTCTGTGCCACTATTCCCCTCCGCATTGCACGAGCTAGTTGGTATCATAAGACTGGAATGATAGGAAGAAGTCGACCGTTGTTTAGTCGATGTGTCAGCCTTGGGTTATGACATCGGGTTGAATTGTTGAATGAATTCCACAAACATTCTACTGGATCCAGACTCGGTCGAGTCTGTTCCGTCTGGTTTGCCGAATATGCCGCCAACAGTTCCCGTTTGATTGTGGAGCATGCTCGAAGCTTTATGAATGGAAAGCACAAGTAACTTTTTGCCCACTCTTGTTTTTGTGTGCTGTTTCTCGTTTGAGATTTTTGATGTTTTATTTTGTTCGCATGCCTCCAGCAACAAGTGAATGATATGCTCAATGATTGGGACGGGGGGCGGGGCCCAATAAGGCGTTGAACCGTAGCTATAGAGGCATTCACATGAATACACAAAAATGTCTATTATGGGATTATTAGATTTATTACCCTTGTCAGATATACTGACAGGAGCGGAGACAGCGAATAACGTTCGATGGTTTTAATGGTTTTCATTGAGAATAACAACATGATACGTAATAATTATTTTGTTATCATTTTCTGTTGCAATTTGTTCACACTCACGTTAGTTAGCCTCATATCATAACTGATTTACATTGCCTATAAACAAAAATGCAAACACACATCTTTCATAACACATTGATGGTATAGATAATCCTAACGAAACTTTTAATCCTCCACAACGAAGTCTCATACCTACGTTCCAGTGGTATCGACCTTTTCTATTTGTATACTATTTCTCACTTCCCTAAGGACTACGGATGTCTGAATAAACATTTCAAAAGGTCTTATCTGCTTTGATCGATTCTCTTCATCGAATTTCTCTACAATGGAAACGGATTTTGTGCTACAGCATTCGAAACGTCCAACACAACAGTGCATGTTTTTGCAGCTTAGTTATTAACGAAAGAGAAAGCCGATGAAGAGAACCGATCAAAGTAGATAGGATCTTTTGAAATGTTCATCTGAATTTCGTATGCATATGAACACCATCCCGCTCTGTCAACATTTTCCTCCGACTGATGCTTACTTCTATTTCTGTCGAATTATGGTATACCACATAGCATGGGCATGTGCCAAATGAGCCAAATTCTTTCTGAACTATTTGCCATGAGGGTAGAAAGTTTCCTGATTTTCAACGTCACTCTTTGTGATCCGTTTCACTGCTTATCTTCAGCATCAGTAGGTAGGGGTATTCGGGGCAAGACGAACAGTTGATTGTTCGACGGCTTAACCATTGGATAATGAGATTTTTGTCACATCCACTCTTAATTTACGATATTTCGTTTGTTTTGTAAAAAGAACATGTTTCGCGTTTCGTAATATTTGAACGGGAACCAAGAGAAAAATAATATTGTAGTCTCATTGAAATGTTGTCAATGCCACCGATATCACCCGGTCGCAGCGCCTGCGATAATATTTAGCACGACGGCACAGAGAGGGAGAAAATCTACCTATTGCTCTTGCTTGGTGCTTTCCACACCGTCCGAAGCAAAAAGGAGCAGAGGCACCGGCACGACAGCAGCGCTGTTTATAACTTTTCAGGTTCAAGCAGAACGATGTGCAACTAAGTGGTACTCGATCATGGCGACTGGGTTTTGTAAAACCGTTTATTTCATAAAATCAGTGATAATATTATCATTTGTAAATTTTTCTATAGTTTTTTTTTTTGAAAATTGAAAAAACAATGTATTTCAGCAGGTTTGTATGGTAATTTCCCATCGATTGGCGTAAATGACAAAGTTTCAAGCGTTCAAAACCTAACACTATTTCGCCACACATTTTTTTGGTTTTCACCCAGTATAGTCCACAAAGACGTAGTTATGCCTTAAAAAAATCAATGTCTGAATTTACACAATGATGTAGATGCCAAAATATGACCAAAATAGATCCACCGCTAATGAACTTATTCTTGAATACTAACGTGTTCGTCTTACCCCGATTTCCCCTATATATGGCCAGGAAGGAACTTTTTTTTTATGGGAAGTCAGTTTTCATCAGCTTGCTACAATAATTCTATAAATCGAACAGGGACAGGTCATCGCAGATTGGAGCAACAACTATCAAAGCGTTTACGCTTGGGAACTTTTGGCAACATCATATTCGTGTTTCCAACTTATGCTTGCTCTGCATTACAATGATAGGGAGGAGCAGCACTTACCCGTGTAGGCAACGATGGTTAAAGGGGCCATCGTTAGAGATTGTCGGAGCCACAGCTGGTTGCCACTTTGGTAATGGGGAAAGTTTTGCCGGCTTTACTTGTCAAAAACCTGTGATGATAGCTTCTCATGAAGATTGAAGGGTTTTGTTGTTATAGCTGATATATTTTGATCAAGCAAATGGTACAATCAATGAATATCAATAACTCAAAACTATTTTTCGTTGACTTTGAATTTCACAAAAATCTATAAAAGAATTGATTAACAAACCAGAACTGCATCGTGCTTTAATCGATCATTTCACGATATCATAAGTCCAGCTGTTCGGGTCGTGCTTCGCTAAACAATAGCCTATCAACAAAACTGAATTGTCTCTCGGGGCAACTGGAGCTGTTGTGTCTGGTGTGGAAATCAATTTGCAATTTAATGGACGAATAAATTGAAGTCGGAAAAAGAGGGAGAGGGAAAGCGTGAGTGGTATTCGGCTTCTTCCAACGCTGCAAATGCACTCAATGTCGGGCAGGGTGAAGGATGATCCGTTAGGATCTAAAATCAATTACTGATCTATTATTCCCCTCGGTAGGTCAGAGTGAGTCCTCTGTCATGGTTGTGCTGGTGCATTAGCAGCAGAACTATATCGGTAGTACACCTGCATAGCAAAATGAAAGTTGATTGTAATTTCCGGTTGGTTTGTTGTTTTGTATTCTGGATGAGCTTTGAGTTTATGATTTTGCTATGCATGTTAGGCTTTGTATACTTGACTAAGCAACTAAAGGAATGCATTTTTAAGCATTGAATAATTTGCGTGATTTTCTTTTAAATGTTTCATGATCTACATTTTCATTTCTCCATTCACCTATTGCGCCCAGCAATTTTAATTATTGCAGTATAAGGGTGCTTCATTTAGAAAAAAAAAAATTTGCAATCTTATATGCCAATCTCCAGTTTGATTCATATCGACCTCTAAACCATTATCAATCGTTACCATTTTTGTTACAATCGGAAGTTTGTTAACATGATTAAAATGGTTTAAATCACCAAATGAAAATCAGCAGCAAAATTAAAAACGTGTCAACTTTCCAGCGTGACCTACTTCGATCCTCTTATGTGTAGACATAAAATTCATGTGTAACCATACATACTATTAATTTGACTCATACATTTCATGTGTACTTTTGAGTGGATTCTGTTTATGTGTGGACACATGATAATCATGTGGAATTTTACATGGAAATTCACCAATAAAAATGTGTCGAATTTTATGAGTGTAGACTAGGCGGATTGGGTGGCAGCCTCAAGAGCGCCAACAACAACATCACGGTAAAGTCAGGCATCATAAACAATCAGGTAATGTCTTACTAAGTTTCCCTTTATTTTACTTATATTTGAATTAATCACCTCTACCTATCTATGAATCGGCACAAACCCCCCTCGCTTGTCTCTTCCCTTATGATAGCTAATTCACTAATGTTGAGATGGGGTCTTGCCGATACGTTACCCTACCGTTGATGTCACTGTGACTCGCCCTGTTTCACATTCGTGGATAGCACAGAACTTATTTAACCTGCTCGAAAAGATGCTGTGATGCGACCCCCCTGTCTACTGGTATAGCGTTGTCTAAAAGCATCGGAGACCTGGCCCTTGACCCCCTTGTATACTACACAATCACAATCACTATCACAAAACAAACAAAAGCTAAAATCATCACTCGTATCTAACTGAAAAAAATCGAGCAATATATCACATGCAATCGAGGTTTTCCCACCGGGTAACAAACAGAAATCATGAACAACGTTAATACATTCATAAGAATGTTTTTCAACTGGAACAAACGCATCAAATTTACTCATGATCACTACCCTTGAATCTCGAAGGAAGTTACGGCAAGGTGATGGACTTTCGTGTCTGCTATTTAACGTCGCGTTAGAAGGTGTGATCAGAAGAGCTGGGATAGACACGAGTGGCACGATCTTCACGAAGTCCATCCAGCTTCTTGGTTTCGCCGATGACATCGACATGTATGGAACGGTTCGACTGGGAATTGATGTGTGTTGTGAAGGGCTGTTCAGTCTCGACAAAATCAAAATACTGCTATTTAATTTTTGTCCAACGTTTCGGTCCGTTTGGGACCTTCTTCAGGGACTCTAAAATTGTTTATTAACATTTTAGTTGTTTGAAAATGTGTTTTAATAATTTTTACAAAATTTGTTATTTTTACCAATTTTTACAGTTTTCTCGTCTAGTGTGGTTCTGTGGAACCTGAAGATGTCCCGAGGTCAGAGTTTCTGTTTTTGTTTTTAAAATGTTTTTATATGGTTAGCATTTGGTATCCACTCACGCTGAATTTTATCGTGTACTTACTCCCACTCAAACACAAACGGTACGAATTCATTTATCCGTCGAAAACCCTTTCCAATTTCTACGCTCTGGAATTCAGTACACGGCACTAGAATGATCACCATTGCTTTTCTACCCAGTCCGTAGTGTTTGTGTGATCATTCCTCAGCTGATCAATACGTGTGTGTGTGTGTTATAAACTTGCTTGTAAATTGCCTGTGTTTGCGTGTATTTAGCTATCCACTGTTTGTTTTGATTTTGGTTTTCAGCTCAGCTGATCAATACGTGTGTGTGTGTGTGTGTGTGTGTGTGTGTGTTATAAACTTTAGCTATCCACTGTTTGTTTTGATTTTGGTTTTCAGTTTCTCCCATTCCGATTGTTTTTCAGCCAATGTAGAACTCCTGCATATGCGACGTGAAGATTGTCGGTGTCCGTCCGTTTGTTGACTGTATTTTTTTGTGTTGTGAATGTGGCAGCTCTCCAGGATGGGTAGATTGTGTGATTTGTGTGTTGTGTCCATTATTTTCGTCTCTTCTAACTTAAAGTTGTGTTCCGTTCGGGCTGCATGGTTGACAATAGCGGTTGTATCCCATATCGCTTGGATTGCTATATCGTTCGTTGTGTGTCCCGCTCTTTGTAGTGTTTGTAGCTTTTTGAGATTAGACTTGTGTTTCGACAACCGTGTTTTCAACTTTTGTGTGGTCATACCAATATAGCAGGCATTACAGTCAGAACAATCTATTTTGTAGACAACATCAGGGCGTCACAATATCAGCTTCAATCGACCAAATAGATGCGACGAAGAGACTGCTGGCTTTCTTTTTCTGTTAAAGTCGAACAGCTTCGCAGCATTCTAGAACCTCAGTCGGCGTGCACAAACAAATGTTCAATCGCTTGTCTCTCTTTCTCCCGTCGCTCCATTGGTCTTCCTTTCAAGCTTCGTCGAAATGGATGAGCCAAAGAACGCTCGAGTTTGATAGTTTTCTCTTTCATGAAACACATCAACAGAGGTTTCATGACGTATATGACGGAAAATGAAATAACACATTTAAAGCATTTCTCACGTCAAAACACTTGAAGATTACACGTCATATTTCTAATTTATCTTCCATCCATATATTTATCTAAAAAAAATGATCGAAAACGGGACATAACGCATTTTAAATTGAAAGAGTGGTGATAGAGTGTTCGTGAAAGGGGATTGAAAGCCATAATGAAGTTCGTTTAACTAGAAAATCGACGTTAGTTACATTGAAAGCGATGAGCAAAGCAACGACGAGAAGTTCCACAGCCAGCCTTTCCTTCTAAGCGTCCTTCTTTTTTATTTTCGTTTCTTGCTGATAGTCTAGCTAGGCGTTATAGAAATGAAGCGTCGAACACGTATGTATGAGAGAAACAAAACACGAGTTCATTTTAGAGCTTCGAAATTGTAGAGCCCTGGACAACATTACTGCGTTCATCTACTGGTGTTGGATCTTTCACCCGTGGTAGGAGGGATCCAATGTTTTTGTGCTGACTGCTAGCTATGTTTACATTCGGATATTCCTTCCGTAGTGTTTTCGTTAGAGTTTGAGACAAACCCCTAATATTAGTGAGTGAGCGGAATGTTGTTGTTGTATCTTCATTGCTGCTCACTTCCATAACTGTTTCTGTTTGCCTGTTTCCACTGACCCTGTTTATTACGCGATTAATGATATTCGCGGGATAATCATTGATCCGTAAGTGTGCAAAAATAATGGATTTTATCTTTTTCAGGCTCAGGTTAGTAGAGAAAAGTATGACCCGCTTGACAAAACTGGACGCTACATTAATTTTTAGTGACATTGGGTGCCCTGAATGGAAATTTAGGAACCTACCGGAAGCAATCGTTTTAGTATACTATTCCGTCCTGATCGTGCGATCCTCTCTTCTAACGAGTACCATATCCAGAAATGGGAGGCGGTTGTTTTCCTCCTTCTCAACCGTGAACTGGATGTGTTGATCCTGCTGGTTGAAAACATTTTGGACTTCTGCTACTTTGTCAGTGGGAAGGACTAGGAATAGGTCGTCGACATATTTCCTAAGGAACGGGATCGCGATGACACTTGATGCTACCGCATCGTCCAGGAGGTCATCCATCACGTAGTCTGCAATGATGGGAGACAGTGGGTTGCCCATCGCTGTGCCAAACGTCTGTCGGTAGTAAGCTCCTCGAAAACAAAGTAGCTGCAATCGATGCAAAACTCCGTAACTTCCCAAAACAGGTCCAAGCAAATCGCTGTGTTTTTCCCAATGTCGTCCCAGTGCCGGAAAATGCTCCTCTTGACAAGACTTTTTGGGATAGAGGTAAACAGTGCCACCACGTCAAACGATACCAGAATATGTCCCTCCGGAAGCTCGATAGAGTTAACATATTCACAGAACCCAAACGAATCCTTGATGCTGTATTTACTGACCAGCGAATTTTGCAGGATTTTGCCCACATATTTGGACAGTTCGTATGATGGTGCTGTCATACAGGGCACGACAGGTCGTAATGGTAAACCTGGTTTGTGTGCCTTCGGTTGTCCGTAGATCTTTGGGCAAACCGCTCTGTAGGTCTTCAGTTTCGAGGCAAGATTTGGTTCTAAGTGTAGATCTTGGAGTCGTTTTACAATGGTGTTGTTTTTGTTTTGAAAAGTGCTTGTGGGGTCTTTCGCTAACCTTAGGTATGTTCGATCGTCCTCTAATAGGGTCTTCATCATGGTCGTGTATTGCTCCCGTTCCATTACCACAGTTCGGTTACCTTTGTCTGAGTTTACGACAATTATCTCTGGATGGGTCTTGAAGAACTCCCTGGTGTGCTGCTCTGCATTCCTGTAGAAATTCGTTACAGGGTCATTGGTGCCACCGTGTTGAGCCTTATGTAGGTAGTTTTGTATCTGGTTTGCCACTGAGCATCGCGTTCGTTCTTGAACCGCCGTATCGTCATTGGTCCTGATGACGGACTCCACATCGGCAATGAGATGATATATCGGAACTTCGGACAGGTTTTTGTGCGGTAATGCGAACTTAGAGCCAAGGCTCAGAAGATGTTCCACTTCCCCCGGCAGCGCAACGGCCGTCGCGTTTAGAATGGCTTTGTTGTTCAGCGTCGGCTCTGTTGTAGTGAAGCTCTGATGAGGTGTGTTGAGCAACATTTGAAACTTTTGTTCGATCTTCCACTCGGTTTTCGCTTTGTTTCGGTCGCTATACACCTGTTGCTTGCCCAGAAACTCTCGGGAGACTCCTTCAGGCACCACTTCTTGGATTTTGCTGCGAAGACCGTTGAATTGCTGCTGATACGTCCTGAGTTTGAAGAACGTGTGTTTCACTTCTGTGTTCAGAACGGACTTCTTGAACCTCGCAATGTCTCTTTCCAGCTTTCTCAAATGGGGGCTCTGTTCTACTAGCAGTTCCGAGATGCACTTGAAGGAGTTTTGAATGTGTGGCGGAGACAGACCTGCACGACGGCATTTGAGCAAAAACTCTTTCCGCGTTTCCATGTTGCTCAGTTTTCTGTTGATATCTGCGTACTGTTTGAAATCTTCTTTTACCGTGGTTCCGAATTCCTGGTCAATTCGATTGAAAAAACCTGCCATGGTTTAATGTGTATGGAACGGTTCGACTGGGAATTGAGAGTGTTGTGAATGGCTGTTCAGTCTCGACATCGACGTCATGGGACGGAACTTTGAGACGATGGTGGAAACGTGCATCAGACTGAAGGCTGAAGCTAGCTGGATTGGACTTGCCATCAACGCATCGAAGACGAAATACATAAGAGGAAGAGGTTCTAGGGAAGACAACGTTAGCCTCCCACCCCGAGTTCAGATTGACGGTGACGAAATCGAGGTGGTTGACGAGTTCGTGTATTTGGGCTCACTGGTGACCGCCAAAAATGATACAAGCAGAGAAATTCAAAGACGCATTATGGTAGGGAATCGTTCCTGCTTTGGACTCCGGAGGACGCTCGGGTCGAATAAAATTCGCCATCGCGCGAAGTTGACTGTCTATAAAACGCTGATTAGACCGGTGGTCCTCTACGGCCACGAGACCTGGCTACGCTCGTGCACTCAAATTAAATGCCTGATATTTTTCATGAGCGTAAAACACATAGATTGTAAGCAGAAACATAAATTTATATTTCATGTGCGTTTAATAAAAGGTATGTGCGGTACTATTAAGAAACATTATGCGTAGATTGAATTTGAAGTGCACTGATATGGAATCCAATACGTCCTGCATAAAAATCAGAAGTGAAAACATAAACAAATTACGTGACCAGCCGGAGTGAAAAATGGCGCTAGCTGAGGATACAAATTAGCTTGCGGACGTAAATTACACCGACAACACTTTTAAAAATATAACTAAAGGTGCGAACATCCGGCTGGCCTTGCGACTAGGACGCATTATTCGAACGCATCACCAGCTGCGGAAGATAAACGTAAGTACTTATTAATCCATAAGTTTGTTTTCATATTGTTTTAATCATGGAATATTTTATATACTGCAGGGATTGGATATGATTACTTTTACAAAAGTAATCGAAGAATGGTTGTGCAGTGAGGGCCAAGACGTCAGCGTATTCAGGCTCGAAGATTGTTTTGAATAGTCGAGCGAATCGAGCGGTTCTCCGAAACAAAAGTGCACATGGTCTTCCCAACAGCAGTCCGATGTGTCCGATGCTGACGCGACGATCACTGGGTGTTCGTCAAAGAAACCATTTGATCCCGGTGCGATACCTTCCGGTGACGACGATTTGCCACCATCCTTTTGTAGTGAGGGTCAGGAAGTTCAAACCTCGCCATTTATTCTCTACCACCGCAATGAAAGCATTCTTTGGCCTTCGTGTATGTTAACAATACAAGGACGACGTGAAAATAATAAATAAATAAATGTATATTTTATAAAAACATATGATTATAAAATACTGCCTTAATCGATGGCAGTATTCAACAAAATCTTTCCTTTTCTTAAATTCTAAAATTCAATTTAAAAATAGTTTTGGATCAGTACAGATTACGGGTGATATAATTTAATTTTAATAGTATCAGCTGCTATGCAATAAACCCAGCAATAATTTTCATTAGTCTTACAAATATAAATCATTTTGTATAATCATAAGACTTTCATTAAAAATCAAAAGAACTGCACATAAAAACGATCTTTATGGAATCAACAAGATTTCATTAGCGCTACACATATTTTCTATATGCAAAAGTAACTGGTCAAATTTTAAGTGCCGTGCACATGTATATAATATGCACTTTTTTATGAGTGTGGAGGACAAACGAGCGAACCACGAAATGCATCAGATGCTGAGAGAACCATCCATTAGCCACATTGCGAAATTTGGGTGACTACGGTGGCCTGGGCACGTCGTAAGAATGCCGGACGACGACCCAGTGAAAATGGTTCTCGAAAGCGACCCAACCGGAACAAGAAAAAGAGGCGCGCAGCGGACAAGGTGGGTTCGGCCAAGTAGAAGCCGACCTGCGAACCCTTCGCAGACTACAAGGCTGACGACGTGTTGTCATGGATCGAATAGAGTGAAGACGACTTTTTCCGACAGCAGAGGACATCAAGGCCTTAACCTTTTTGAGTGAGTATGACCTTTGTATTCACTTGATTCAGAAATGGCAGAAAATGACCCGGAACTCGTTTCGGTCATTCACTCCGAGCAGCCAAAGGCCAAGCTCAAACAATGCATGATCGAACGTGTTTTCGATGTCTGTTCTTTTGCACCACACACGTGAATAAAGGCGTTTTTCATCGCAGCAACCGAACAATAGATCAGTGCGGTTGAGGTCATACGGGATAACAAAAGGACATGAGTAAGCATACCAAACACCATTGATTCAGTGATATAAGAACATTAGCAAAAAAACTTATTCAATAAAATTCAATTATCGCGCACGGGATTTAAAAACTAATAAATTGCGAACAGCGGTCCACGAAATGCGAAAAATTAATTTAATAAAATTATCACATGGGAGGCCCTGAGCTAACAATAATATGCGACCGACCCGCTCTTTTTTTAGGTTTACCTGTAGATTCTTGGTTCAGATCAATTTTCAATAACAATTTAATTAACACTGTTATAGTTATGTGAAAAAAGGAAAAGACAACTTTTCACTGATGAAGTAGACCGAAATTTCCACCTGAATTAGTAAAGTTGATAAATACTGGTTTTGTCGCTCAAAACTTTTACCTTGGTGCTCTACGCTCTACAGCATAGCATCTTCTACTGTACGATGGCAATTCCCCGGTGAAAACCACAATACATCATAGAACTGTGCATAATTTGTGTCTACATTAAAGGAGGGAAAGTTGTGTTGGATGGAACCGAAAATAATTATATTGCTTTGCGGCAGGGACTACCTTCCTAATTGGTCATAATTTTGGCAGAGTGATGAAAACTTTTGTTGAATAAACTACGGTGCTTGAAGACCAACAATTAATTTTAGAGATTTTATATTGAGTGATGCCGTTGCCTTTCCGGAGCCTTTATGTACTTCTTAAATATAGTTTCTTCGGATTCTGTTGTATCTTGGTTCTGAAAAGTGAACATGCAGATAACGATGAAATTGTACCTATCTTTCCCACCAATCATACTTTCTCAACTGTTTCACCCACTGTACTCTCGCCGTCTGAGCCTCTATTTGGCTGGTCTTCAGCTTCATCCGACTGGTTCATTGCCAGCAGTCTAAGGTTCATATTTTCATGCAACAGCTGGGAGCATCGCGTCAGCAGATCCAGATACTGCCGGTGGCAGGCGCTAATGCTCTCGTTGCTAAGTTTTGCCTCGACCGCGGCCAGCATGTAGCGATTCTGTTCCCGAACGTACGCAGCAAACTGAAGGCACATCTGTTGGTAGCGATTCCGATGTCTTTCGTGCCGACGCTTGGTAGACCGCATCCGAAGGAACATCTCTCCCAGTCGAAACCGGGTTCCGGCACAGCCACGCATGTGACGAGCTAGTTTGCGGTTGGATACGTGTAACGATCGCTGGGTATGGGGATGCTTCAAAGTTAGACTTTCGGTAGATTATGGAGCACAAATCATACTACCTGCATCAGCTTGAGGGAAGACTTTATCCGTCCCATTTCCAACTTTAATAGCTCGTTCTCTTCTGCGAAGGAATCCCTTGATAGGATAGAGAAGTTGATTAAAATTATACGTCGAAATATTAGAACTTCCAGCTTTACCTCTGTTTATCCAATCTTCTTACTAATTTAACGTTAGTGAATTGCGTTTCATGCAGCTCATTGATCAAATACTGCTTAGAGAGTGTCATTTCGTTCAATATTTCCTATTGGAGAGCGTTAATTTTTTACTCGATTATGTAAGGGACTACACATTCTATTACCTTTAAGTTTTGTATTTCTGTATGTGAATCATTCAAAGATTCCCTCATATGTGCTAGTTCTTTTTTAAGGCTATGTTTTTTGTCACTTGGTGACATTTCTTCGATTGCATCTACTCAATGACTACAAACACTACCAAAAATATCGCAGTAAGCTTTGAACAGCTCTGGACGATTTTTGGAGCAATCTGAACTGCCTCTGCTAGATTTCCTATTCCTATAGGACAGTTATGCTTTTATGGGAAGTGAACTAATTAAATTTAAACAGTTCTGGTTGTAATCTAGTAGTTGGAATACATAGAAATTGCAACAGAATCGGAAAATATACCTGTCATAAAAAATAATGAAATAGGTCATAATCAGTGACTACGGTCGTCCGTTGGCGAATGCAACAAAACAATTCTTTCGGTTTACGTCATGGGCACAAGATAACTTCCGCCTGTTCGCCCAGACCAGCCTTCAAAGACCACCGGATGCTACTATATGACGCCGTTTGCCACAATTCAACACACGAGGGGCTGTTCATAAACCACGTAGACATTTTGTAGTTTGGTTGGTTGAGTATCTACGGTCTATATAAATTTCTAAAAAATTTTCACCGTGGGGGAGGGCGCATGTCTAAAACCTTAACGGTTTACGTAGTTTATGAACAGCACCTAAATGGTCCGAACTGAAGTTGGCAGCTTAGGTACTAACCAAAAGCTGCTCTTTACTGCGAGTATAAAAGTGCACCCATCACTCATTGTTTGTCTTCTCCTCACCGGCTCTAGACTGAGCCGAAAGAGGACGGAAGCCTAGCCGTAACTATTACCAGTTCCTGTTAGTTGCCATCGCCATCGTCATCATCATCATCATTATCGTCATCATTGACCAAAACAACGTTCTCCACTACGACGACGATAGGAAACTGTTGCAACTGCAAATTAGCACAGGTTTGATTTTTCATTTCAAAATTATTTGTTTTAGAAACCAACTTGTTCGTATTTTTTTTCTAAAATAATCTGTAACAGATGCAATGAAATTTGTCATTACTGAATTAATAAAGGATGAGCCCATCCTCTTCACTCGCGATAGCAATCGTCTGCCGTCTGTGCCGATAGCCACTTTGAAAGCTCATAGAACTCGAGTTTTATCCTTTCTCTGTTTTCTTTTCCTCTATTTGCCAACCAATGTCCCATGGTCGGAGAGATGGAAGCTGACCAGAATCTGAGCTTTGTAGATTACGTTCAACGCATCTCGTGGAGGGTAGGAATGCCACGCGAGATGAAAATAATAGTCATTGTGAAGGAAGTTGATTGCCGGGAAATTCCAGGTTATTACTTTCTCACTATACCTTTCATATTATTATCCTTGCTGTCTGTCAGTGATGGCATTGAAGGCAGCTTTTACTAGAAGAAGGTTATGAATTTTGTGGGATTTTCATCCTCATTTGTTGCCATCGAACAATTCGAACTTTAAGGTGAGATAGATTTAGAAGGGGTCTTCCTTAGTTGGTAAAGACGCAGCTACAAAGCAAGACCATGCTGAAGGTGGTTGGGTTCGATTCCCGGTCTGATCTAGGAATTTTTCGGGTTGGAAAATTTCTCGACTTCCCTGGGCATAGAAGTATGATTGGACTTGCCACACAATTATACTAATGCAAAAATGGTACAGGCATCGAAAGCTCTCAATTAATAACTGTGGAAGTGCATCTAGAACACTAAGTTGAGAGCAATAAGCTTGAAATGCGAGGAAGAAGAAGAAGAAGAAGAAGAAGAAGTAGATTTATTTAAATTTGAGATAAATAATCCCAATTACACGCAGTTGAGCACAGTTGTGTCGGATCTGATGCAGAGACAATGTTCCGCTTTTATCGGAAACAATATCGAGATAACCAAAAATTACCAATAACTCACAAAAGCACGTAGCAATATTTGTTGCCATGCATCTCATTTAGCTGCCAGCGAAGGAGTAAGAAGAAAGCTATTATTCACGTCCCACACACGAACGACCGTCTTCTATATTCAAACGGGGTGGGATCTTTGGAGTTCAAGGTATATCGTCCTTGTGATGCTTTTTGAGCGCTGTGCTTCCCACATAAGCGAATGCTCTGTGGAAGCTTCTTCAGAATTCCCGTCTCTATTTGCATGTATTCCATATTTAAATTGATTCTTCGCTTTACCGGCGAGCAAAAATGTGCGATTCGAAAGACGACCGGCAGGCACACAAACAATATTCAATAAAGGTGGCTTTTCCACCGCAACTTTTGAATGGTGTCCAGGGTTGCCAAGTGATTTTTCGCAAAATCTGGCTGTTGTTGAATAAAAGTCTGGATTTGTCTGGATGTTCTCGATAATGACGTTGTTTTGTTGTACCAGAGATATGTACCATGTATGTCAGGGAGATTTGTACCAAGCCATTAGTGTTAAGGCTGCCATGATTATTTGTAACCAGAATTACATGCATTATCGAAAAATGTTGTCTGTTTTAAGATTTCGTTCAATTTATATTGAAGTCTCCCTGGAATTCTACAAACAGAATAAATTTTCTTAGTTGAGGCAAAATGCCAGCTCACCACCACATTTTGTTGTGGCTCAAACTTTAAACCCAAATGTTAACCACCTTGCATGTTTCATCCAGAAAATATTTCAAAAAGTTAAGATTTATGAACGTTTAAAATGTTTGATCATCCACCTGAATCATTTCCCGAGGAATAATAGTTGAACATTTTCCGTGAGCGGTAAAATCGTATAAGTTAATCAAAGAGATGCTCCAGGCCCATTTGATGGTGAGTGCGATATCTTTCCAGGTATGGAAGCCGCCTTCCTGGCATTCGATTGCCGTCTATGGATGGCAATCGATGTCCGTCGGTGATTCTTCTTAATACCGTTATTTAACATCGGTCTCTGTTCCGCAATCTAGTGCCAATCACCGACGGACATCCATTGACGAAAATAATTTTTAGTATTCATCACATATATAGAAAACAACTCTAAAATCCCCTTTTCAACTAAATTTTCTATAACGACCGGTTTTGCGTAGTTTTTATCCAACACTCACTCTTCCTGAAACAGTTAAATGCTCAGGGAACTGACACTCAATCAGATGCATTTTATTCAATCTAGACTTGGCAACGCTGCTGTGGCATGCGAGCAGGATGGAAAGAATTTCAGACAGCGTTTTTCTATTTTTACTCGAAAACAGTATACTGTGGAGTTTTGACGTCTTGAGAAGAGTTGTTTATTTTATCAATATAAACAACTTTGCTCAAGACTTCAAATCTTCAAAACGCAATTTCAATGAATTAAAAAAAAATAGAAAAAAACATGTTCCACTAAAATGATGAAATCTCAAGGACGCCAAAAATAAACCTCTCTCAAATTTTGATAGGATTTTGTTTATCGAGTATTGCTTATTTTTTGCTGAAAATTTCAAGTTGCGATTTTTTTGCGCTCTGGGAGATTGAGAACCAGTATGTTTCGTGACAAAATTTCTTGATTTAATGCATTTGCATGAGAGAAAAATATAACATTATATGGTTGTAAGCAATAAACAGAAACAGAAGGATACTTTTTTCTTTAACTCTATATAACTCGGAACCAGTAGGCTATGGAAATTTTACATCTTGTAAAGAGTTGTTTATTTTGTCAAGTTAAACAACTTTTTCTAAGACATCAAGTCTCCAAAACGTCAGAGAAAGAAGTTAGATTGTGGCGCCATCTTTGTGGAAGAGTTTTTAACTATTTGTTTATGTCAATAGATGGTTTTTATTATGATGAGAAACTTTGCCCAAGGTACCAAGTCGCGAAAACGCTTAGTTTCGGAGTTATTAATTTTGCTCAGCTAGATTACATTCCTAGCCCAGTGTTCAATGCAAGCAAATTATTCGAATGAAACCCAAATTTGGCAACACGGTTATGCAAAAAGGGCTGAACCAAACAAATGCCAGCATCCTCATGCAAGTGGTGCAGGAATCGACAAAGCAAACGCTTTTTGACAGGATAATTGGATCACTTCCACATTTCCTTCTGCTCTTCACGCAAAACGATACAATGGCACTGCGGTGAGTAATCTGGTTGGGACATGATAGCTGAAGATTTCCAGTCATACCACGGGCGACGTTGCGACTTCATTGAACATTGCTTTCGACATTAATGTGATTGTAATCGGTTGAATTCAAAATGCCGTTTTGGAGTTACGGGTATTCCTTCGCTTCGTGAATAGGTCCTATCGGGGATGCTTATCTCCATAGGACGTGAGTTGTTCTGCCTCAATTTCAATATTTTCAGGAATGTAACATATTTTTCGTCGATTGAATTACTAACAGTATGGGAAAGAAACAATATTGCCATCCTCTAATATAAATGTGAATTTTTCTAAGCATCTTGAAATGAAACAGACCCTTTCCATGAAGTTCTTCACCGAGACTTTTCAACTACATTTCTTATAATCTGTGTTGTTATTACTTTGAATTGAGGTTTACTTAAGACTAAACTTGAAAATCATGTTTGAATTTATCTGAGTAATATCAAAATATTTCAATTTACCGGAGAATTTATATTAAAACAGAGTTAAAGTCGAATAATGCTATTTTCGCGTTGTCACGTCACGTAGTATTTTACTTCTAGTAGCATTTATTAATGACTATATCCATAACTTTTGATTGGAAAACAAAGTAAATTTTGTCTACTAAGTATTCTTCTACAGACGGTAATAAAACGCGAATGCTCGGTTTTGGGAGAGTATAATTTTCCTGTAGGATGTAGAATATTTTAGGTAAGAATTGCTACTTAATAGATTACAGGTTTTGCAAAACGTACAATTATTATACCTATTGACCTTTCAGCAACGAATGTTAGTTTTAGTTGAAGTTGTAGTTCGAAAAGGAAAGATTAGCTTAAAGCTTTAGTTAGTTGACTTACGTTTAGTTGCTTTAGTTTATATCAAGGGTACGAATTACGCAATTCTAGGCCGGATTAAACTTATACATCCTCATAATGGTAGAAATTAGGCCTTTGTTTATCTTTATAATTCAACAATCCCATCTTCTCACCAATAATGGTATACAGTGCAACGTGCAACAATAGCTGATAATTTTGACGCTATAGATGTAGGTAACC